TAGAGTGCTGTACCATCCCCAAACTTCAGCACAGCACTTTTTCGGTTCCAGAGTGCCAAGCGTGCCCAACTTTCTAGGCTCGAGAGGGCAAACGGGCTGTTTTTTTTCCTCAATTTCGGTTTGTTAGGCTAGAATTTAGGGAATTTAGGAGCAGCACGGCACTTCGCAGATTCCAGGATGCAAACGTGCGATATTTTCCCTAATTGTTTTGCTCTGCAACCTCGAAAGCGCTGTAGTGTCCCAAAACACCTTTAAATCCTGTTTCCGAAGACCTGCAGCTACCAGATCCCTGTGATACATGTGAAGTTTGTATATGTCAGACCTGAAGAGGTTCAGCTGCAGCATGAGTTAAGTTTATTCTGCACAGATGATGAACAAGAGAAAGATCAAACAATGAGTCAGTCAGGTATTGCTGTGCCACATTGAATGTGCAGCAACTGTTTTTGTCGAGAAAAGCTTGTCGAGTACTAGTACTGTCGTCCTGTTTTGTTGTGTGCCTAGAATCAAAACTGGCCCTAGTACAGTCTGCTGGAAATGTGTGGCTGTGAGACATCTGAAATGAAGAATTAAGCATCATCCCCTGCGGCTTCCCATAGGCTTCTGTTGCGGAACTAGTAAGCGAACTCAGCAGCCGGTCTACCTTGTTAGGGCATTGTTGCCCGGTGTGTGATCCGTGTACAGAACTTTGTTACTAAGTGATTAATCGCAAATTGCAGCAAAATATCGTTCACAGAGCTGAAATCGTACATCACGACTTGCGATAGCATGCTTTGTAAAGGCCCTGGCCGCATAGCTGCGTGCAAGAGCTTTAATTTCAGAGAACACCTGCACTGCCACTCATCTGCTTAAGAGCTATAGAATCTTGGTCCACGGTCAATCACTTCAAAGGAGGACCTTTGACACAACCCGAACATGTGCACGTACTCGTGAATCCGCTACAAGTAGCACCTAAAGACCCCTGATCATTGACACGCAGTGTTTCCTGACATCATGGATTCTGGGTTTTTGATCCGGTCCAGAAAAATCACTTTTTAACGTAATTAGAGCGGATACCGCGCACTGAGAATGCTGTTTCTCGATCTCGTTCCAGTTCATATACATCCCTAATTGCAGTTGAATCCTGAATCCAGGATTCCTGTCCTTCAATATGCTAACTTCGATTCAAGCAAAAATACCAGAATGTCCAACAAACCCAATCCAAAACAGCAAAAGTGCTGTACTATCCGAGAACAACAAACCTCTCTTTCGAACCTCGAGGCCCCAAAGATTGGCGAAGTAGAGCATGTTTGCTGGCTATTTCCATGGAACAATACAGCGTGCTTGCAGAAAGTTAGAAGAAGGTTGCCGTACTGCCCGAATCTTTTTGCTGCTTCACGAAAAAACTTTGGGACAGCACAGCAGCCTTGCAAGAATTATGGCAAACGCGCAATCCTTTGGAGAGAAAACCATCAAAGATGCTGTGATGTCGCAATCTTTCACAGGTGGCCAGTCAGCTCAGTTGATTTTCGGACAGTACAGTACTTTAGGGTCTGAAGGATAGTAACACACGTGAGCTATTTCTTCTGTAAAGGTGCTGTACTTTAGCACTCTTGTTGGGGAACATGCAATCAGTGCTGTACTCTGGCAATCTTTGATCCAAACGCCGAACATCATATGTGGGGAAAGGCAATACGGAAAGCAACACGATCCGTGAATGTGTGGAATCCAAATGAAGTTGGCTGATGTTTGTTCAAGTTCTCTATCTTAAGCACCATCCATGAACACGTGCGACCTAAATTGAATTTGGCTAATCTTTGAATCATCCAAAACATTACAGAACATGAGACGCAACATGAGACGTGGCATGAGAGGGACCGTTCGGTTTTATAAAGGATCTGGGGCCCTCCGAAAATGAGGGGTCTCCTTTTTAAATTTGGATATTGAGTGCCTCTTGGAAACCATGATCTGCAGGTTAAGGGAGGGGCAGCCTCCATATATACACATCTATATGGTACCCCCCAAAACCCTACGACTCAGTGGTTGTATTACTCTATAATATTTTTCCTCGCAAAGGATGGGAGAGTGGTGATGGGCAGAGGGAGGCAGATTTGCAAATTCGCAGGTTAGCAGATTCGCAGATTGGCAAATTCGCAGATTCCACCGACTGTGATCTGGGGAGTGTGTGGGACATGGAATCAATCTGCAAATCTTCGAATCTAGGATTTCAGTATCCAATGAGGAGGTCAAGATGTCGTTTCTTTGTTTCACATGAGCATGGCGAGAGTGTGTAGCAGCAGCAGTGTGAAATCCCATTCAGACTTCAACAAGAACTTCATAATCGAAAAACAGAAATCCAGGAATCTGGGATTTTCTGTACGAAGAGCCCAGGATCAACGAATTTTCTCAAAATCAGCAAAATGTCTTTATACAGAGAAAAGTAATACCCTTCATAGAGGCTTTAGATAAAGAAAATCAGGAGACGAGGATCTGAGAATCGCATACACATAAGAATCACATGTAGCAAGGGATTCATATAAGCAAAAACGAGATCGCAAGATTTCAGAAGTCCTTTTAATCTTGAAGCGCATTCAGTAAAGGATTTGTATAGCCAAAGACGAGCCCAGGGTTCAGAGTCATGAAATATGTGAGGGATGTATTGAAGAATATCCACACCTATGCGACCTCCTGAGACTTCAAACCTTGAAGCACAGTCAGTCAAATGATTCTCTTTCATGTAAAAACACGAGCGCAGGCTTTGAGAATTCATCTCCAAAGCTAAACCACATTCGGAAACTCATGTAGACGCATGCACCAAAAGATCCACATGGAGAAAATCAGGAGCCCAGGATCTGAGAATTCCTTTCTTAATTTGGAACAAATTCCGTAAGCATGTTATGCTAGAGAAAATCACAAGACCAGGAGCAATGCATTCTCCCACAAATATGTAGTCAATCTAGTAGAAGGGTTATCCATTCCACTTCGAAACCTATTTAATAGAGGACCTGAAACTTGCAGCGTAGCAAGTGAAGTATTTATATAAGCCAAAGCGGGAGCCCACCTAAAGCACGTTTAGTAAGGGACTTATATAACGAAAACGAAGAGCCCAGGACTTGAGAATTCCTCCATAATTTTGATTCACATTTTGGTGAGGGATATCTTTATATTTATACTTATATATGCACATATATATAGATATACACATAGAGATCGTGAAAATGAAGATGCCAGGGTCAAAGAATTGTCCTGTAGATTCGCAGCCAGTTTAGTCAGGGATTTACAGAGAGAAAAGAGAGAGCCCAGGACAAGACAATTTGTTCAGCATCAGAGACGTCTCTTGCAAAATCGACACCAGCTTGCTAAAGGATAGTCAGGAGCTCAGGGTTGGAGAATTCCGTTTTAAAATTTAAAGCACATGCGGCAAGAACCTGTGAAAGGTAGATCGATGGCGGGTTAACTATACACACCTCACGCCGTTTGACCTACCGAGACCATGAAAACACCGTACACTGTATCAATCTCACAGAACATCCAGGGTTCCTGGGCTCCTGTTTTTGATTAGAGTTCCAAGGAATTTGTGAAATCTGTCGCCAAAATCCGAAAAAATAATCCCCAACTTTCGGAGTTACGCGAAGAATGTTGTTCTCTTGGTTTTGCGTTGTGGGCTTTTAAATACCTTTTGGATTTCCAAATTCTATGACAGTTTCTTGCATGTTCAACGAATTCCATAAGTTTGTGTTTGCATCATCAAGTAAAGCCCATGACACAGAAATGGAACCAGGATCGATGTGGGAGACACAAATGTCCATGTCCATACATGGCGGTGTTTGTACCATGTGCATCGCCATATGTCACACACGAGTCAAGAGCGAGGCACCAAAGCCCCTGCAACGGCTCTTCCTCGAAAGGTCTCCGCCTGCAACCGGTAAAGAGACGAATTTAAAGCCACGTAAGATTGAAGTCTTGTTATGACACAGAAGAACCAGATCCAAAGCGCAATCTTACTTTGAAATGGGGAATGTATTTTCCGTTCACGACACACCACTTGTACAAGCATTGTGCTGTCTTCCAAGACCACATTGCTCCTAGCAGGACTATGTTGATACAAAGCTTGTTCACCTTTTTACGTTTATTGTTATTGCCTTTGTCGTGTTCTTCCTGTTCTTGCTTTTGCTACCAGTACTGCCACTGCAGTTTTACTCGTTGTGGCTTGATTGTCCTGATGATCCACATGATTGTATTTGCTCGTACAGAGATGGAAACAATTATCATTCCGAGGCTGCAATAGAGGCATCGTTATCATGCAGCAAGCCTGCAAATCCCGCATCCATGAATCGTGTTGCATTGACCATCAAGGCAGCGTCCTCATTGATCAGCCTCTGTTGGTTCAACCCGGCATCGGAGACAGCAGAGACAGCTGAATAACAATCATGACGGCAAATGATCCTTAGGAAATGACCCGTGACCAACTCCATGAAAATCTGAGCCTGCTCCGGCGTCGGGAAAGCCAGTGTCTGCCAGACATGTCAAGTCCAGGACGCTCAGGCCTGATTCTGCTTTTGAGTTGACCTCGTTGCCACCTAGCAGCAGCCCGACAATTTTTTGCGCAACTTCAGAAACATTTGCACAGCTTCCACGACAATGACATGTCAACTCCACCAGGCCGTGGTCGCCCGTCTCCAGGACCTGCACCTCGCATTGATAGACAAGGCGTGCCCTCAAACCTTGTTTCTGCGCTGAGGCTTGCTCTGACTGATACGATGACATCAGCAAGAGTTTGAGTTGTCACTAAATACGTGATCTCAGCCTTGCGGTACTACAAACTTATCTGCTATGGCAAGCGCTACACGACAATTAAACATTAAGTTCAACTATTTCAGTGTGCAGAGCTTGGGAGGCTTTGCTAGATTGCTCGCTATTCATCAGCTTTGCCTCTGTCATGGTCTCCTCAAATCTGTGCCCACCTCAACCGATTGTGATGACGAAGCAAGAATCTCAAAACTTCTCAAATGCCACCGAGGAGCTCACAAGTAGAAGCCGTGTCTCACCTTTTCTTGCAATTCCTCGACAGCAGTCACACCAAAGCCCAGGTCAAATACAGCAGGTTGGAAAGCTTGGCTCTGCACAGGTTTCGAAAACACTGACATAGGAACCACTTGACCACGTGTGCACAGCCGACCATACAGGTCCTTGGAAAATCCGATGTAAGGAGAAAGAGCTTCGTTCAAACTCATGGCGGACGAAGCACCCGATGAAAGCGCAACAGGTCCAGCATGCCGTTCAGCGTAGGTTGCACTGCTGCTCCTCCTCTCTAGCAAGAGGCAAGCAATGCGACCTATGAAAGAACATTCGACAGTATTTTTTTGGCTGCGTGCAAACAAACCTGAGATTGACAGCTGCTCAACCTGAGCTTGCTCGCTCTCGTTCACTCCATGAGCCAGCACTACAGATGGTGAACAGATGCCCAGTAACTCAAAGTTTCATGAGGAAGGCCAGATCAAGAGCTTTCCAGGACAAGACCATCTAGTGTGAAATCTGTACTCATTGAGTGAACCCACAATGGCCAACCACTATTTCGAAAGCATGTGCTGAACGATGGAAGCTGCAGCACATTTTCAGGAGGTCAATGCTCTCCACAATCAAACTTGCTTGAAGTGTATAAAAGCACGAGCGGACCATTGCACTTGCCGCACCTTCATGCCTGCTGGCCAGGATAAGCCGTGTTTCATGGGAACGGTCTTTATGTTGTCCAATACCCCAAGCCTCCCGCAAAAAAACAAAAAAAAAGAACCCCAAGCCCAAGACATGCTTCTTGTGAGAGGGCTCCTGCTGGCTGAACTGCAGCTGGATAAAGGTATGCCTCGCTGCGCAGCGTGACTCTGGAGTGTGACTCGGGAATACACTTCCTTAAAGGATCCTAACCAAACATTACTTTACGGCCATTTTGGAGACTGGTCTTTGGAACAACTACCACATGCATCCGTGTCCCTGGTTGCGAGCAAGGGGCCAGTCCCTCATCGCTGAATACTGGCTTGTGGAGCACAGCTCCACTGCGTGGCCGAAGGAAATACGGCATGGAGACGCCTCTGGCTGCATTGACTCGTTACATACAGCCGAGCACTATGGTCGGCGTTTTTCTGATGTCAGGCTTCAACAAGTTGAGCCCAGCGTCGTGTTCCTGTTTGTTTGAGGCGACCAGCTGATACACCATGAACCAGTCCAGTGTACCGGCCGGCTGTGGCGACAGCCAGAGCAGTACCTGCGAAAACCAGCACATCGCCTCGGGACAAGGGCACATCCATATTATGTCGGCATTTCTGAGTCAGGTCGTGAGTTGCACACCCACATGCGCACACTGAAATACTTGATGTTGATATGTCCTGACCATGAAGTGATTAAACATCGCTTTTCGCAACAGCAGATCTCTTGCTGAACATGACTAATCTTCCACAAAATGGCTTGCCCTCTGCCAGATGACCTATTTGCCAATCTGCTTGCCCTGATGCAAGTCACAGTCCTGGGGGTGGAGGTAATGTTTGTTGCTGTACTCGTCATATAAACAACCAGACTGCATAATTTCATCAGGATTGATGAAAGTCAATGATAGTTAGGAATTGATGCATATACACTTTACATAATCATCAAACAAAGACCATGCAACATTGGTGCATGCTGGAAACGCTTAAGTTTGAACGCAATGCCACAAAATTCACAGTACAACAGAGTCCTCTTGGTTGCATAAGACGTGCTAAGTGGACCCCCCCCAATCCTCACCTCAAACCAGGCCATGTAATTCAATAGCAGTTCTAGCGATGAATCTGGATAGTATGCTGATCTACCAAGAAGAGCTCAGCTAGATTTCAGCCTTGTCTGCATGTCTATGCTTCAGCCAGCCGCGAGGCATGGTGTAGGCCAACACGTCTCTCCGACAATTTCAAGTGGCTGTATGAGACATGGAGTCCAATAGAAAGCACAGCCTAATTTTTGCTCTGGATACATATATATATATATACATACATCTTCATGCCGGAGCAGCCCAAAGTCCAGAGAACATGAGTCCTTGCAGATACAGCAAGCTTAGAGGTTTTGGGTCTATGAATGGCCCGGAAGTCAATGTGGACAGGCACCTCCATCTGACCTGCAGCCATGCCACGGTCTGGGTCCAGAAGCTCTTCCAAAAAAGCAGTTTCACCGACGGCTTCATGGAACGGTGAAGCCATCCTCGTGCAATATATTCTACTACAATACATGTAAGACAAAGCTAGCAACGCAACATCAACAAACGAAAGCATGGCACACACTGCAGGCGAAGCATCAGGGCAGGCCACGATCCTGCTGGTGCAACTGTTAACAGTCCCAGGTCCAAGTGCCAGCATGGACCGGCACCTGAGCCAGGGACGGGTAAGCTTGCGGCTTGAGTTGTCGAACCGCCGATCCATATTTAACAACTTGTAATCATGGGCAATTTGTTGCGCCGAATGCCGCCGCTATGAGGCAACGATCAAGGGTATGGCGCCAAAGGATTTCAAGTGGATCAGGCCAAGGCATGGCATTATCAAACAACAATGGACAGCGTTGTACAAAAGCATGCATCAGTCTCAATCAAGCGGTTTAAGCCTGGCTCAGTCTTGAGGATCTTGGTACGGACTACTCCAGTAGGCTTCGGTGGCGGCATCTCTGCATTCAAACAAATATCTTTAAAAAAGTCTCATGGAATGCATTGTACTCACAAGCCACATGTATGCTTTGGCACATGGCCATTTCCCTTGATGAGGGTGCTATGCCTGGGCATAGACTTCATGACTTCGTCAAGAGCCAAGCCAATCGACAATTACTAAAGCAAGCGCACAAGATGCAGTGCGGGGGGAGGAGCTACAGCGCAGCTTTTTTCTTTTCGAATGTTGAGCTGGAGGACATGCGATCAACAAATCATGCCCAAACAGGCATGTGCATGACGATAGAAATTGCATGCGCTTCTTGTTGCAGATTGCGCTTAACGAAAGACAGGCAGCAGAATCACAGCAAGACATGCAGCATGCAGCAAACAACAAAGAAAACGGGAAAAGCAGTTGTCACGCAGACCGTACACAATGCTTGCTCTATGCAGCCAGGAAACTGTCCTGTCCAGCATAGATATTAGCTCGCAGGAAACTTGGTTCCTGCAGCTCTTGCATCAGCAGGAGTCCAACAATCCAGTATGAAAAACTTGCTGTTTCCACTAGTACAACGGCATGGGAAGCCAGTTTGTCCTTTGCAGCGTGAAGCGGCTCTGGAGTCTCTGCTACAAGGTCCAGAAGTTCCGGCATGTTCTCATGTCGTGCCACGGCCATCAGGCATGACACAGACAGGTTGTGCAACTCCCTGGCCAAGTGAACAGCGGCTGCAGCGCCCGTATCTTCAATCGCGGCGTCACTTGGAATGAGGTCTAGTCTCTGCAGAGGCCTGGGGAAAGACACCGTCTCGTGGCGAGCTTGTCCTGGCTGAAGGCCGCAGTTCGCCAGCTGTAGATCCTCCTTGCCAGCCAGGCTCTCCAACCAATCCAGAGCATCACGTCGCCTCGAAGATTAGTCAAGCAGGATGGGGGTGCCGAGAAATGAACGCATGACGCTGCCAGGGAGCTTGGTCAGGTCAAAGCCAACGATCGCGAAGCCGCGGTGCTTTAGCTCGTTGCAGAAGTCTTCGCCATGCTGGGCCAATGCTCCGGCATCAACCTCCCAACACTAACCCTGAACACTCAGCATCAACAGCCTAGCCTCATGGCACAAGTTGTACATTGCTGTACATCTTCATGAGGTGAGCACACAGACCCGGAGCTAGATCAATGGGGAGTGCGTGACATGACTTGGAGAGCCCTGCTTTGCAAACTTGCAGGTGCTGCTGAAGTGTTTGGCTGGCGCTTGAAAAGACATGGTTTGCATAAGTTACCCTGCACCGTGCTTGCGGGGAGCACGGTGTCTCGTACATGTGTTGTCCGGTTGCCGGGAGTTAGTTTTTGATGAGCTGGAGGTTTGCTGGGAGCGGCTCCGGCTTCACTCACTTCTGCTAGTTGCATCGCACCCTCACGTGCCGAGGCGTTCAGCCCAGCAAACCTAATCCAGTTCAATGCGCTTTGAACTGGTCGTCTCGTGAAGCTCCAAAGCTTCGGGTTCTGCCTCATGTGCAATCCTCGCACTTTAGCTGCAAAAGATTACAGAAGGCATCAGAAGCCTCACAATAACCCAGATTCTGTCTGCAACTCGTGCCTTTTTGGGGATCTTATTGACCGCTGCAAAGCTGCCCTCGAAGTGCAGACTGTGCGAGGCCAATCCAGCTATGCAGATGGCAGCCTCACAAGCCGATAACCAACTTACCATGATGGGACAACATCCTGGTGACTCGACATCAATTGTGACAAGCACGCTTGCTACACACAAGCCATGTTACAAGAGGTTTTGGTAGTGGTCCTCCCTCCCGTCCAGAAACTCTAGTGTCATCCCTAATTGCAGACTTTTCTTTCGACTACAGATCATCTGACAGCATTTCCGCATGTGGTCAAGAAAAGCCCCAGGGCAAGGCAATGCCTACCTGTAAGTCAATCACATGTCAGGCAAATGACGACTCGCTGTAGACGGAGGCAACGTCCACGGGTGGTGGGCATCAGCTCTGTGAACTATGTCGACTTTTCAAAGTTGAGCCTGAAGCCAAGCCCATCAAGAACCTGTCTCGAATTGACCTGTCCTGCACAAAGATGTCCAGGTCCAACTTCCACAGGCCAGTCTGCCACATAAGCTGCTTTTTAAAGATCGGCGCGTGTCATGTGTGAGACTGCAAGGGCAGCCTGTCACATGTTGTGACAGGGCCATCAGAGATGTCTGCCACGTATCTACAGTCTACGACTAGCTTGTCTACAATGAGGTTATGGCCAATGTCCGATCAAGTTCAGACATGGCGACATTGAACATCAACGAGCAAGCCTCAGGTCAAAGCCAACACAGCACGTGCAGGCCCAGACAGAGTAAATTAGATCAACGCAGCACAGTTGGTGAGTTCTCCCTTGACTTCAATAACTACGAGATGGAATTCTGAATTCGGCAGCTGCCTCTATGGAAATGGAATTGCCAAGCAAAATGCCCTAAGCGGTGCTCTGCTCAGTCTCCGGCGTTGCAAGCCATTCTGCTAGCAGTTTGACCTGCTCTGCACCTTCACGATTCATTGTCTCTCTTTTGCTTTGCTTTGCTCAGTGGAATGGTGCGCCGAAGCTGTCTCTCCCTCTCTCTCGCTCTCTCTCATACATCCACGGCCATGTCTGATAGACTGTCACAAGATGCCTTGGCTTGCGACTAGCTCGTGCTTAATTAGTGTCTGCGCGTCGGGTCGCCTGCCCAGCAGGCAAGTTCAACTGAAGAAATCGCCCGTGGATCAGACTGGGAGCGCACGTCGCGTCGTCCCGCTTCAAGCACTTCGCGACGAAGTCGCACAATGCTGACGGAAACTTGTGCGTATCCAATCGGGGCCTCAGCATGGGGAAATCTGAGATCCACCCTTTGAGCTGGAAGCGAGTCTGAAAGGACCGAAACGGAGGCCCTCAACTGACAGCAGCAAGTTTACCAGTTCACTGCCTTGCTAGGACTCTGGGTGAGAAGGCGGAGCTTTTTGACTTGGAGAGCTGACAGCATCATTCTATGCCATCCTGTCCATTCTTCACCACAAATCCACAGGCCTGAATCTGCCACCCTCTATTTTCAGATGCCAGGCACAGCACATTTAATCCCGTATTGGCAGCTTATACAATACAGACGAAACTCTAAGGTTCAGCGATGCCCCAAAACCAAGGCCTCTTGCGCATGAAACTCCCAAAAAACTCCTATCATCCTATCTCAACAAGTCAAACGACCTTTACATGGCCGAACCTTGAAGGAACAAAAGCAGAAACATGAACTAGACAGCACAGAGTGTGTCCAAGGTCTGCACTCGGGCTGCGTGCAGAGGCACTTGGTTCACGTGTCAGCAGTGCTACACGAATGGACAGTATGAACACGGGTTGAGATGCATCTGCGCTAAGGCAACACACCTCATAGAGCTCCAGGAAGTTCTTTGCCTTGTATGGATACCTGGCTGGTATTGACAGCAAGCATCAAGTTGGACTCTAATGGCCAGAGCACTGTCGTCATGACATTCATGGTATGCTTGCGTTGCTGCATTTGAGCGGAAACATTCTCAGAGATTGCACGAGGTCTTTTGAATCTTATTTGAAGACGTGGCAAAACTACGAGATTCTGCTCGCCCTTTTTGGCTGCTATCAAATCTGGCCACTGTTTCTCAGGTATATCCCAGTAATCTTCATGAAGGATCACTGCGCCACCCGTTAACAAAAAGCCCGGTCTCTCCTATCCTGATTCAAAACAGCCCAAAGCGACTGTTGAGCCGCTCGCATGAACATGAACTGCAAACCAAACAAGGGGTACTGTCCATTTGCCAGCTCGAACACTACCATGCCGGCACTCCAAACCTCGGTGACTCAGCTTCTTTTCTGCAGTTATGAGTAGGAGAACAAAACTGAGCCAGCAGCATCCGACCTGGAATGAACGCTGCTCTGTGACAACAAATCACATTATTCACATTGGCTTCCGGAATTGTCAACCACATCGCACACCTTGCCTGAAAGAGTAGTCCTTCGAGCAATGCTCTGCATGCCAACCAGAAAAGGATGTTGACCACGAACCACAGTTCAGTTCTAGCTTAGCTGACACCATTGCCCCAGACGGAGCTGCAAGGTTCCTGTGAAAGTTCGGTTACAAAATACATTTTTGATCATGTTAGCCAGTCCATCGGCCAGAGGCCACTGTAAAGCCCACTTGATGTGGCCAGGTGCATTACAAGCTGATGACACGTGCTATATGTTTTTGTTCGAAGCTCAAGCAATTAATTATTGCTCTGAAACACGAGCCGGTCCTTGCCCAATGCTCTCTCGGGGGACATGTAGTTGGCAGTGCCAACAAAGCTTGCTGCCACTCCAGCAGTGGACGTCAAATCCTGGCAGGGCTACGGAATTAAACATCCAGCGTGATCTTGAAGACCAAATCCAAAATCACCACAAGAACGCACGTGGTGGGACAACGAATGCTATGTTTCTGGCACTACCGAGCAAGGACCGGTATGGTAGCCGTTTGTTTCATTTCCCGATGGCTGATGCGTTGTTTGGCTTACTGTGGAAGCTGTGCCACCTAACGACTGCATCAGTGCCAGCAGAAATATTAGTGCGCATCGAAATGGATGACAGGCAGCATGTAAAATGGGACTTGCTCCCTGGACGGCAGGTGTGGTTTCAGTTTCCTGGCATGTTTCCTTTGAAACAATCGGCTGGGGTGCCTTAGCAAACCCTTCTTTTTTTCAGGCTGTCAAAGACCTATCGTGGCGTTCACATGCGTTTCATAGCGGGTGCAATAACGTTCACATCATACAGTGTGTTTATTGGAGCCGTTGCAATAATGCTGAGGTCGAACTGGACCGCCGGGTTTCGACAAGTCACAACGGACTGGCAAGTCCAGCTACGCCTGAGCCCCGCCAGCCCGTCGTTTTGGTTTGGGTATGGATTCTTTGCGAACTTTGTGCTCTCGGGATGAACAATATCATGGCCTGGACGCAGGTTATATGTTATGATATCCACCCAAAAGGGGACGCCGCTGTGGGAGGTGTCAGGGCGGGGAGGGCAAGGGATAAAGTCAGGCTCCACTTTACGGGATTTTGTTAGGACTGTGAGAAGGCAAGGAGGTCGTAAATCTCCACCAGAAAGCAACACACTCTCCACGTTTTGGAACGTTTGCAAGACGGTGAGAAAGACAAGGGACACCGAAGAATCCTCACGTTTTGGCGTTTGGGGTTGTTTGGGCTTAAAGCTTAAAGGCTTAGGATTGTCTTTGGTTTAAAAATTTAGGCTGGTGTTACTCATATAGTGAGAAGGCAAGTTTTGCGCCAGCTTTGCTTTGAGATTGGGGATTTATAATCTGGTGTCAATTAGAGCTTACTCCTGGAAGTGGTTCGGTACGCGGTTTGGTGACAAGGAAGATTTGGGCTCATTTAATGTTGTTTAAGATTCAATTTTTGGACTGTTTATGGCTGTTTGTTTTCGATGGTTTTGGGTTGCGTAAGGTTTATCGTCTGGCTTCATTGGATGATCCGATCTTGCCCACGGCTCCAGAGCTGATTCGAAGAATTAGGGATTTCGACACCCCCTTTGAGCTCAAGGCTGGGGTTTCATTGTCAAGCAAGGTTTACGGATTCTGCGCCCTGTGGGGTGTAAGGGCTCAGAATCTACATCTTCAAGATTTTAGGGTCTGGGGATGTCTGGGGTTTGAGTTTGAGGTGTTGTAAGGGTTCGAGGTTAAAGCAAGCGCATCATAGTTGGATTTTTGTGATCTGGCAATTTTGAATACACGATATAATCAATATAGGTTCGGGGCATGTTCACGTTCAGCTGATACATGGACGATCTGGACAGTTATCTTTTTTTTCTGCAAGCCAGCTAGCAAGATTGAGAGCTCTTCGAAGAATGTAGCATGAGCTTTGCGAACATTGTCCTGTTCTGCTTGCAAGGTCTTCAAAGCCTGGTCCTGCTTCATCGCCCCCGAAAGCACATCATCGAGCAAGGTATCATCGCGGCAGGTGAAGAACGATGTCTCTTCTTGCTCGCAAACGTGGACAAAGCGTTCTTGAAGACTCGTCATATGCTCGCTTTGCAGCTGAAACTTGTGACCCGCCGCAATAAGATCTAATAGGCATTTCTTGTACACGAAAGCGACACGCATGTGCTCCTTGAGCTGCCGTCATGGTGTAGCATCCTGCAGCTTCTTTAGGCACATTTTCACCATAATAGTTCAGCAGATACAAACTCAGCATCCATCTCATGCTGGGCGCTCATAGGATGCAGCAAGACATGTGGCGCCATGGCAGCCAGACTTGACCAATCGGAAAATGAATGCAGGCGAGTGGAGCCGAAAACACTACCATACATGCGTTTCTGCAAGTGAAGCAAAGTACAGCGATTTTTGGGTTTAGGGTTTCAGGGCTTGAGGAAGAGCATGTTTATTGTTATCCTTGTCGTTGGTCGATTTCTAGCTAGCTCAGGGACTCAAGCATCCTGTTCAGCAATTTAGGCTTTGTCTGTGCAGAATAGGGGATTTCTTGACTGGGTTCCATCAGGACACTAGTGAAGACTAGGGATTGCAGAAGAAATTGTGGGGCTTTCTTCTAAGAATAATTTGAACGTTCTTTAAAGAAGCTCCCAAGTTCATTCGGCAGAGCTTTGGGCTACCTCCACAACCGGCAACTCTGCTTCAAGTAGAAGGCACTGCTATGGAATGAATGTTAGCCCTTATCAGTAGGGATTGATGACAGTGCTTAATTTAGTTAAGCATGTTTTATGGCCAAGCAGATCTTGAGATAATTTCATGCGAGTAGCGCTTTCAGTGTTTGAGTCAACTAGGCCTTGGAGTTGTTTACCGCTCAGGGTTGCTGAGGATTCAAGATTGAGGGTTTGAGGTTTGGGGCTCATTAGGGTTTAGGGTTTGGAGTTGTTTAGGGGTTTTGGAGCCTGCGTGCCGTTGATTAGAGCTGCGCGCTTTGGTTGATTGGGATTTGTTGTTTAGGGTTTGCAGTCAGGGTTCAGGGCGGTTCATCATTTCGGGATTGTTTAGGCTTTCGTGCTTGGATTACCGTTTGGGGGTAAGGGGTTTGTTGTCAATCGGCATCTAGGTCTGTGAGTTGTTTAGCACCAGCGGGGCTGGGCTCTAGGGTGCTGGGTTGTTAAGGGTTGAGGGTTTGGGGCTTTGAGGTTTGTCAGGAAACACGTGAGGGTTTAGTTTAGCATTGGGGTCTGGTCAGAGCTTGGATTTGGTGTTGCTCAGGGTTTCGGGCTTTGGGCTGTTTTTTTTGCTGCTGCCGTGCGCACTAGTTTGCGCGCATTGGCGCCACTGCTGGAAAACTTCGCAGGGATCTGGATATTGTAGCGTATACTACGTGAGGGCCAAGTATTCCTCTAGGGTTGAAGGTCCAGGCGTCTGGGAAGTGACGTTGAGTTGTGATCTCAATCCAGTATGGAATTTTACCACCTCTACGTCTACCAGTGCACTGTATGCGGTCTTTAAGGGCTGGACTAAAAACCACATGGCGCAGGGGGTCTGAATGGTTGCTCTTGAAAACCTGTTCAAGCATTCGGAGCTGAAGCTTGTTTAGGGTTTGTGAGGGATGTCTGGGGTTACCTGCCGTGCTAACAACTGGCGAGTTTGGGATACGGGAATAGTACGAAGCCTTAATACCAACAACTCTTCTGAGAAAACGGATATAATAGGCGTCTATGCGCTTTAAATGTTTCTGCTGCAGCGTGAGGGCGTCGAGTCCGTAGATCAATGTGGGAATGAAAACAGATTGAAAGATTCTGAGCTTTTCCCTGTACGGTAAAGAACTGTTCCAGACAAGCCTAAGCTTTTTATAGGAAGTCTCGGCAACTGAGGCCCTATGCCTGAACGCCACCTCAGAGGGTTTATCCCAAGAAATCATAGAACCCAGATATTTGACTTGAGTTGTGGTCTGGACCGGAGTCCCATCCGAGAACCTAAGTTTTGGGGGAGGTTTTCTGGAGTCCATGAGGAGTTCGGTCTTATCTTGATTAAGGCACATCCCGTAAAGGG